TTTCTAGAGGTCCCTTCCAACCCTAAGCATTCTATGATTCTATGATTCTATGATTCTCTGATTTTGTAAGCAGTATTTGGGTGTCTTTAGCTCAAATTGGATCCTGCCCCAGAGGAGGCTAAAGGTGGGTAATCTAACAGACACTTAGACTGCCTTGATCTGAACTGGTTGGAGTTGCTCTGCTAAACTTGCATGGAAGGAAAGCACAGGAGATCTGTGTTTTGCAGCCTGACTTTTTGCTTTTATGCCACTCAGTGGAGACCCCTGAGCTAAAGGCAATGTCTAAGCTCTTTACCTAAAACCTAGGAAGAATGATAGACCCAAGGATGAGATCTACAAAAGCCCCCTTGCTGGGGCTTAAATAAGCGTCACTGAGATGCAGGAGTGACATATCTGGGACACAAAAACCTGGACTGTCCTTTTCTCACACATGGAGGACAGGAGTGGCCCTCCTCTTTTTATTCCTATTCCTATTCCTATTCCTATTCCTATTCCTATTCCTATTCCTATTCCTATTCCTATTCCTATTCCTATTCCTATTCCTATTCCTATTCCTATTCCTATTCCTATTCCTATTCCTATTCCTATTCCTATTCCTATTCCTATTCCTATTCCTATTTGCTCCTTCCCGTAAGTATGAAGCTGAGAAACTATCTGGAGGAGAAGCATCTCTGGGAAAACGAGCTGTTTCACGTGGAGGAGAGAGGAGAAGTGCGCTGGCAGCTCAGAGTTAAAACTAAACGTTTACATGGTCTGCATGGCATCATGGTCTGGTGACAGAAAGACAACTGTTGTAAAACAAACTCAGAAATTGTGCAGAGCACTGAACCACCTTCTGTAAAGCCAGCCCAGTCCACACAAATTACGTATTTCTGATTAGTGAAGGACAGTGTGGTCTTTCTCTTTCCTCCCATCTAGATGCATCCTGCTAATGTTTCTGTCACTAGTTTTTAAGCGCCAACTCTTGGTATATATACGTTCTTCTCGGCGATACCCTTTTGTGTGTGTGGTCAGAGGGAGGCCAGGGAGAAAAGGCTGCTCAGTGACTTCTAATGCAGAAAAAGAACCCCCAAATACAGAGGGAGGCTGCAGGCAAATTCGAAAGGCTAATTATTGCCTTGCATTGGCATCAAGGAAACTCATGGCAGGAAGGGGTGTGCTAATAGGAGATATGTAAGGATAAGGGCTGAAGCTTTTCTGACCAAAAGCCCTATCAGGAAGGGAAGTAGAGGAAGTAGCTTTTGTCAGTGTTTGATTTGACCATTTATTCTTTTTTTTTCTCTGTATAAACACTCAATTAGTGTCTGAACTTGGAAGGAGATACATCAGGCCCCATACTCTGCATAACACCCAGCCAAGCCTATTGCACATGACTTGATATTTTGTTCTCATTGGTATGAAAAACAACTTCCTCCTTTTGCCACTCTTGGGAGCCTCTACAACAAAAGAGGAAAAACATTATGAGCAAGCAGAAAGTGTCAGCAGAGACCCTTGGAAAAAATATCTTCAAAAGAATCTACCAGAAGGAAAACATAGATAAAGGTATATTAAAATACCAAATGTTATGAGGCTTTAAAGAAGAAAAAAAAATGAAGGCTTGGAAT